AAGGAATAACAAGTGTAATATCCACTAAAGCAAAGCTTAAGTATATAACATCAACACTTCAGATAGCTAAGATCGTCACTTGCACTCCTGAACATAGGGTAGGTACTCTCAACAATAGTACCAATAGGATCCCCTTGTGAGTGTAAAAGAATATCGTCGGGGATGTCGATATCGACACAACCATCTTTCGATCCACCGACTGTACCGTCGTCGATGTTTGCATGCCACTCAGAGAAGTTCCTCAACTCATCGTACTCATCGTCCCCACCGAGGCTTCGAAGCCTCATATTCCGAGTAAGTCTCAGAACGATACAATCACGCCACAACTTGGATTAATTGATGGTCGCGTTAACTATGTCGCTTCGACTGCCTTTAGGGACAATGGGGAGTATCTATCTAAAATCCCCACCTAACACAACACACTTCCCGCTAAATGGGAGATTTTGCCTCGATGGATCAACTGCTTTCATTAAGGCTCGCAAGGTGTTGTCAACCGCCTGGAAGCAATATTTGTTCATCATCGGGGCTTTACCCCAAATGATCAACCGATATCGTATGATCAGTTCGGCCAAAGGACTCTGCTGGCTAATATCGCATGTAGAGCCTTCCATTGGGTTCAGTGGGATTCTGAATCGTGAATGCGCAGTGTGTCCACCGGGAAGCAAAAGTGATGCAATACCGCTCGATGCAACGTTCAACACAATTTCCCCTTTGGCTCTGAAAGGAGAAGACAACGCCCTTCGGACATACGTTTGTTCGGTGCCGCCTAACCATAAACGAAAAACATGCGGCTGTAGGTACGGTAAACAGAGTCCATTATCGAGCCATAAACATTGAGCTGCTCATAAGTCATATTGGCAACCAACTCTTGATTCTCAATAGCGAGTGCACGACGATCGTAATTCAACTCGTCCATCACCAGTCTGTTCGTGGATGCCTCATTACGGTCGAGATTAGGAAAAGGCATTATACTGTATTCGCGCAAACTCGTACCATGTCTGCTCAAAATTTTTTCAACCTCCGCCAATGCCAGATTCTTTACTTCATCATCGCTCAAAACCAAATCTGTAACAACAATATAGAAAGTTAATAAATATAAAGACATAAGAGAAAAAGAAAAAACATAAGTATGTGACCGTAATTGATTCGTTTACCTGGGTGCTGTAAAACCCTCCGACGATTATATAATATATCATCCGATAGATAAGGCCAACATGATTCCCACACGAACTCCGGTCGACCGAGAGTATCAAAAGACAACAAAGTAGCAAAAAGGTTTCTCAGCGAATTGGCACTCGACCACTGGCTTGCCTCAATAATCCCTTCAATGTACTCTTTGTCGTCCTCCACCAGACCGAGAGAAAAACATGTATCATGATACGAATCGTGTTGTACTCCCTCAAACTTCATATAGTCACGATGGCATGTTTCACCTCGAACAACGTTGATAAGACACTGCAAGTAATATATTTCACCAGCACCAAGGGAGACGAAGTACAAATGCGCGATATGGTCACTTCTTTTCCTAAGATTCCAACTGTTGGTTTCCGAGTGCCACGTAAATTTGGTCGGAGCCTCAACGTATGTCAGTTTCCTGGCTTCCGGATACTTCTTGTTAGCTTCATCCAAGCTAAAAATTTGGCCGGCATTGTTATTTTTCTTAACCACTTCATCGATCGGAACTTCATCGTCATAGTAGCACGGGTGCTCATTCTCGAGGTGAAAGTTCAAGAGCTCCACTAATGGGTGCTTGTATTGAATCTCAAACTCCAACATCCACCACACAGCCTCACAAGATGAAACATACTGACAATCATAGTACATCTTCACCTCGTCAACTGGGCTGCTAGAGGACTCATCTCCATTGGACTCGTAGAAGGTGGTTGTAACACGATCGTTCCCCTTGTTCACGTACTTGAAAAAATATTTTATGGATATCGACTGATTGCACCACTCCATATTTATGTGTGCGTCGTACTTCAGGAGCAATATTCTGTTATGAGGCATAAAGTATCTGTTATCCAGGGAAATGCCATTCTTTACTATGGTCCTGCCATTATCACGACGTTTGTATCGTGGATAGCCTTCTTCGTCAAGATTCATGGTTTCGGATAACTTTTTAGGAAAATTTTGTGCAACAATAGTTCGCCATACACGGGGATTTCGGGTGAACACTTCTGCAGGGGCCGTGCATCATGTGATCTCTAACAGCAACATAGTAAAACGAATCGGTGGCCTCATCCGGTATTTCGGCAGAAATTATTTTATCTATGTCATCTGTAGTATGTATCTTGTATTCCTTGGCAAGGAAAGTAAGATATGTGCATGCGGAAGGCCACGCTGATGCGGAAGTGGCTGGGCAGCTGAAGAATGCCGCAAGTCGAGCCTATCATGCACGAAAGAGGCTAGCGCGGGAGACGACTGAGGTGCGCGCTATCGAGAGGACGGCGCGCAGGATGTGCACGGCAAGCAAGGCGGGCGGACACGCGCGGGCATAGTCGGCGGCCCTAGTCCTCGAGGACTAGGGCAGGGCGCGCGGGCGGTGCTGGCCAAGGCGGTGCGTGAGGCGGCCGAGAGAGAGAGAAAGAGAGAGAGAGAGAGAGAGAGAGAGAGAGAGAGAGAGAGAGAGAGAGAGGTTGATTGGAGTGCAAGTCAAGTTATTTTGTTCTCTTATTCCATTATGATTTCTAGCTTAATTAGGATACTTAATATTTTATTGCTTTATTAGTTCCCTAGGTAGATTAGGATTAGACATATTTTGTGCCTATATAGAGGCCCATTCCCCATGTTATTTTTCATCATCAATTTTATCAATAGAAATCAGAACTTTTGTTCAATCCCTTTGCTCTAGTTTTTCACCAAAATTCTATTGCAATTATATTCGTTTAGAGGGGTGTGGTTTGTGAACCTCTAGACAACTATCGGCAATTCAAGGCACTGGTTTGTGGCTTATCAGCAGTCGGGACACGCGATCTTCATTATTGGTGCTTTCATTGAGAGGTGTTAGATCGTGTGTCTTTTTCCTACCCCATTCCCTTTCTTTTCTACTCTTCTTTTTTCGTCCCCCATATAAAAAAAAAAATCTTCAAAAAGAGTCCAAGAAGTAAAGAGCGAAAGCAAGAGAAGAAAGCCATGGCCAACAAGGAGATGAAGGACAAGATCGATAATCTCGATGTTCAAGTCCGCAGTATGAGCGAAGCTATGGATACTTTGGGCGAAGGGCTCGACAACACGAAGGCGATGGTGCAAAATCTGATGGAAACTGTGAATAGGCGCTTCGATGAGATGGCGCGCAACGTGCTCGCACGACTACCACCACCGCGGCAGCACGAGCACGCGCAACGCCACGACTGCGAGCAGGCTGAGGGAGAAGAACTACGGCACGAGGAACGTGAGTAGGAAGACGACTTCGACCGACGGTTCCAGGCGTCCAACTACCACAAGCGACCGAAGCCCGACAAACCGCACATCGTGCTGTCCACGTTCAACGGCCACGATCCGGAGACTTGGCTCAACCGTGTTGTTCAATACTTTGAGCTCAACGAAACCGAGGGCCATGACCGAGTAAGGTAAGCAGCCTACTATCTGGATGGCGAGGCCAACGTGTGGTGCAATGGCTCACGAGCGTATACCGCAACCGACAGCGAGTTATTACCTGGACGATTTCGAGCGAGAGTTACATACACGCTTTGGCACGTCCGACTACCACAACTATGATGAGGCGCTGACACGAATAAGGCAGACATGTAATTTACGTGATTATCTGAAGGAATTTGAGCGTTTAGCTTGTCGGGTACGAGGTTGGCCCGAAACTGCATTAGTAGGAGCATTCATAAGTGGCCTAAAGTATGATCTAGCGGCTGAGGTGCGTCTTGAACGGCCCGAGTCCATGCACACTGCTACGGAAGTCGCCCAGCGACGCGAGGATCACTTAGCGGCCACGCGAAGGGGACGGGCGGACAACCGCTTCACCAATACACACTGCGTACGCCCAAGCCAATCGACCGCAGGCACACGACCGGCCATCAACGCTCGACCACCGGGGCCAGTGGTCAAGCAACTTACACCTGAGGAGATCAAACACCAACGAGAGAAAGGCCTTTGTTTCAAGTGTGAAGAAAAGTTCATGCCAGGCCATCGATGTAAGCAGGCTTTTGTTATAGAAATTACCAACTCCGATGAAGAAGATACTGAGGTCGAGGAAGGACCGGAGCACGAGGACAAGATTGAAGTGCTCGAAGAGGAAGCTGAAATCTCAATGCATGCAATGGCTGGGATCAGAGGGCCAAGGCCGATGCGACTACCAGCTTGGGTCAAGGACCGTCGAGTGGTCGTACTCGTAGACAATGGGTCATCACACAACTTCATCAAGGCCGACTTGTCTCAGAAGCTGAAGTTGCCAACCACGAAAATTGAGCCCTTTGAAGTTCGAGTAGCCAATGGTGAGAGGTTAAGGTGCACCGAGTCTTTTCGGGGGGCACTGATCAAGTTCCAAGGGGTTACTGTGGAGGCTGATCTCTATGCCTTACCCCTGGTCGGACCCGACGTTGTTCTAGGAGTCCAGTGGCTAGAAGGATTAGGGAAGGTTACTACTGACTACCGAACCGGGATCATGGAGTTCAGATCTGGAGGTAAACGGTTCACTTTAAAGGCTGGAGAGGAGAAGGTTACTAAAGAAGTTGGATTAAAAAGCATCGAAAGAGTTTGGCGAGGTGGCGGCTAAATTTTTGCAGTAGTGGTCAAGAATACGGGGGCGCACGTAGGCGAAGCCGAGCAGCAGCAAGGAGAGGTGCACGAGCTTCTCGAAGAATTCGAAGGAGTGCTGGGCGAGCCCAAGGGACTTCCAACCCACCGGGAGTTCAACCACCGCATACCTCTGGTCAACGAGCAACATGTTGTATACGTTCACCCCTATAGGTATGCTCACTTTCAGAAAACTGAGATCGAAAGGCAAGTAGATGAGATGCTAGAGTCTGGGTTAATTCAGCATAGCTCGAGTCCATTTTCATCACCAGTCCTATTAGCTAAGAAGAAGGATGGCACATGGAGGTTTTGTACCGACTATCGGGCTATGAATGCCTCGACTATCAAGGATCAGTTTCTTATACCTAGTGTCGACGACATGCTCGATGAGTTGGCAGGATCACGCTACTTCTCGAAGCTCGACCTGAGAGCTGGCTATCATCAGATTCGACTCCACAAGGCCGACATTCCAAAGACAGCTTTTCGTACGCATTAGGGGCACTATGAGTATTTGGTGATGCCATTTGGGCTGTGCAATGCCCCATCTACTTTCCAATTCGCTATGAATTCCATCTTCAAGGAACATCTACGTAAGTTTGTTTTAGTCTTCTTTGATGATATCTTGGTTTATTCCAAGTCGTGGGCTGAACATATTGAGCATTTAAGAGTGGTGCTCGAAGTCTTGGAGGCTAACTCGTTCCAGATCAAGCCGTCCAAGTGCTCATTCGAGCAGGAGATGGTCGAGTACCAAGGACACTTTATATCTCATGATGGCGTGAAGGTTGATCCACGGAAAATAGAAGCTATGGTCGACTGGCCTAAGCCAACGAGTCTCATGCAACTCTGGGGATTCCTAGGGCTCACGGGTTACTACAGGAAGTTCTGTGAAGGATTATGGGACCATGGCCAAACCACTGACTGAGATGACCAAGAAAGGCGGGTTCCAGTAGACCAAGGCAATCGAGGAAGCATTTGAGAAGCTAAAGGGCGCCATGGCCACGACGCCAGTGCTCGCAACGCCAAGGTTTAATGTTCTGTTTGAGGTCCACACAGATACGAGCGACGTGGGAATTGGAGCCGTGCTAGTACAGGAGGGACGACCCTTAGCCTTTCTTAGCAAGGCGCTAGGCACGACTCGACCTGGGCTATCTGTGTACGTAAAGGAGATGCTAGCTGTTGTTGAAGCTGTGAGATGCTGGAGGACTTACCTATTGGGGCNNNTTTTGTATTGTAACCAACCAGCAGCCGCTCAAGCATTTACTCGAGCAAAGAATTGTTACCTCCGAGCAGCAGAAGTTTGTCTCGAAGCTTATGAGATTTTACTTCGAGATAGTCTACTGACCGGGCCGACAGAATGTCGTGGCCGATGCACTATCCCGATGGACGGATGTAGCTGAGCTCGCAGCTGTCACCAGACCGACATGGGCCATTTGGGAGGAAGTTCGGAAGGCACAAGAGGAAGATACTTATTGTCGAGAGCTGCGCCAAGAGATCGAGGCAGGAGGCACAACCATTGCCGATTACGTGCTACACAACAGCCTATTACTTCACCGAGGCCGAGTATTTGTTCTCGACAATGGGCAACTACGTGAAAAAATCATGCAGCACTTCCACGACTCTAAGGTTAGAGGACACTCGGGAATCTGCCGCACGTGGATGAGGATGGTCAATACCTTCTTTTGGCCTGGGCAGCAGGGCACGGTCCGAGAGTATGTCGCCCGCTGCGACGAGTGCCAACGCACGAAGGCTGATGCAGGACGACTGAGCAGGTTGCTGCAACCGTTACCAGTACCTGAGGCGATTTGGGAAGACATCACTATGGATTTTATTGAAGGGCTGCCAAGTTCTAATGGGTTCAACGGTGTTATGGTCGTGGTGGATCCACTTACCAAGTACGCTCATTTCATGCCCATCACCCATCCTTATACGGCGAAATCTATCGCCAAGCTGTTCGTTGAATATGTGATGAAGTTGCATAGAGCACCACGATCTATCGTTTCCGACCGAGACTGAATTTTTATGAGTAGTTTTTGGTCCGAATTCTTCAAACTTCAAGGGACCAAGCTATCAATGAGCTCAGCATACCACCCACAGACGGATGGACAGACCGAGGTAACTAACCAAACTCTTGAGCAGTATTTAAGGTGCTATGTCCATCAATTTCCGAAGAAGTGGGAAAATTTTCTGCCCTGGGCTGAGTATTGGTACAATACCACTTACCATGAGTCGACCAAGATAACGCCATTCTAGTTGGTGTACGGACAAAAACCGCCGACACTCATCAATTACTCAGAAGGAGGCACGGTCAATGATGAGGTGGGTCGAGAACTTGAGGAGCGAGATTTGATGTTGCGAGAACTGAAGAAAAATCTCGAAGGCTCAATCACTCGAACCAAAGCCTTCGTAGATGGAAAACGACGAGAGGAGAATTTTTTACGCCAGACGAATATGTCTACTTAAAGCTGCGACCGTTCAGACAGCGCACGACAGCGCAAAGAGTGGCAACTAAACTAGGAGTACGCTACTATGGGCCTTATCAGATTCTGAAGCGCATAGGTCAAGTACCTTATCGTCTTGAGCTACCGTAGAGTTCGCGGATCCATCCAGTCATTCATGTCTCTCAACTCAAGAGAAGTCTAGGAGAAGCGCACAAGTGGTGCGAAGAGTTACCGGCAACTGCGACTGATGGTAGGGTCATATTGCGCCCAAAACGTGCAATTGAATACCGCAAAGTCAGAAAAGCGGGTCGCTACTGCTGGGAAGTACTAGTCGAATGGAAAGAGTTGCCACCGGAAGAGGCCACATGGAAAGACCTTGAGGAAATGCGCGATCAATTCTCGAATTTCTTTCTTGAGGACAAGGAAGCACTTAAAAGGGACGGGAATGATGCGGAAGTGGCTAGGCAGCTGAAGAATGCCGCAAGTCGCGCCTATCATGCACGAAAGAGGCTAGCGCGGGAGACGGCTGAGGTGCGCGCTATCGAGAGAACGGCGCGCGGGACGTGCGTGGCAAGCAAGACGGGCAGACATGCGCGGGCAGAGTCGGCGGCCCTAGTCCTCGAGGACTAGGACAGGGCGCGCAGGCGGTGCTGGCCAAGGCGGTGCGTGAGGCGGCCGAAAAAGAGAGAGAGATTGAGTGGAGTGGAAGTCAAGTTATTTTGTTCCCTTATTTCATTATGATTTCTAGCTTAATTAGGATATTTAATATTTTATTGTTTTATTAGTTCCCTAGGTAGATTAGGATTAGACATATTTTGTGCCTATATAAAGGCCCCTTCCCCATGTTATTTTTCATCATCAATTTTATCAATAGAAATCAGAACTTTTGTTCATTCTCTTTGCTCTAGTTTTTCACCAAAATTCTATTGCAATTATATTCGTTTGGAGGGGTGTGGTTTGTGAACCTCTAGGCAACTATCGGCGATTCAAGGCACTGGTTTGTGGCTTATCGGCAGTCGGGACACGCGATCTTTATCACACGTTTCTGGAATTCAATCGTGTGTATTGCTGCAATAAGTTCATACTTAGGTAAAAAATTAATCAAATACAAAACATATAATAAAAATAAAAATAGAAATAAATTCATAAATAATTTGAAGAAATACCTGCATTCACATCTCCAAACATCTTGTTATGTCGAACCTCCCTCATCAATGCATCCAACTTGGTCTTAAAAACCCGACAAATTTTATCGGACGATCCTCTGGGTTAAGCTTCCTCCCAGCAAGAAAACGACTGATTTCTGGCCACTTTGAATTGCAAGTGAAGGTTATGAAAATGTCAGGATAATCGGTCCAACAACAAATGACCATTGTATCCTGATAGTTCTGAATCATATATCGCGGGCCGCCCGTAAAGGATGACGGAAGTATAATCTGTTTGCCTTGAGAACCAGGATCCGTGTCACCGTGCAACACAACATCGGAAAGCTTATTGTACAATTCGGTTCTCAAGTTCTTCTAATTAAATCGGATGTGTCTGAGCCGAGCTCCCTCTACCATTGTATAAGCATCGACAACAAATTGTTGATACAACCTCCAAGCGGAAAGGATAGAGGACACCTCACTGTCACGGTCGTGCATCTGATATTTGAAGAACTCTAATGGACTGATAAATTTCCTCGACCTCTCATTAATCAACTTTAGGGAAGAGAATGGAATGTCCTCTCGGTAACCAACCTCGCCATATGGAAAAAGAATAAGATAATTGAAAGCCAAGTAGTAAGCGTTCAATTCGTTGATACGCTTCAGACTTCCACTCCGATGTTCTACTATAATGTCCTGGCTGCCTATAGCATCATCGAAGTCGCCAACAACTAACGCTGCAACTTCAGAAGTGTACGGTAAATTATAACGCCGACCATCCTTATTCTTTTTTCCAATGAGTCGCATCTTAACTTCGCTTTGATCGACCTGGTTCAACTTCTCCCGCGCCATTCTAAACGACTTAACCAAAACATTGTAAAGATAGATCACATCTTTCAAACCACGAACTACTTCCCCATCAAGAGTATTTCTTTCAGAACCACTCCTGACAAAAATAATATAGTAAATTGAATTAGTAAAATAATATGTAAAAGACTAAGATTCCAATAAATAAAATTTTTTTTTTTAATCAAACAATATAAGAAGTACCTCACAGAAGACAACCTGTTCGATATTTCATTCTCTTTGTCATAGATGTACAACTGAGCAAATTTGGGAGGAACACCATGGTCGGGTAGAAAACTGCCCATTAAATGGTAGTTCTGACCATGTAAACGGAATACGGGCAGGCCGCTGCCTTTGTTTATCTCGGTATCAATCTTCCCTCCCATGGATGTAAAACAGAACATGTTGTTGTAGGACCTATTGTTATCTTGAAAGTGCTTGCTATGGGGATCCTTCCGAAAATCAGGTCACGGAGAAATGGGGGAGAAGTGTAA